CCCTCAGCTTCACCTGTTGGTCTAACGAAAGAGTTCACCGGTTCACCTCTCTCTACAAACCTTGCCTCATTCCCCAGATCATTTTAGCCACTGCTGCTGCTAAAACAGTCAGGTAGTTGATCACAAGATAGGAGAGATGGTTGCAGCAAGTTGCTCTATGCTCTTGTAAGAAATGCTGATTTTCGGTTAGGTGTTCTTAATTTTGCACAGTTAAAATGTGTTTTATGACCTGCTCTTGATCTTTTATATTGCATTTATTTCTGAGCTATCTCGCTGTAGGGAGAAATAAGCGACTTTATCTACATTTTCTTTTCTTCTAATGAAAATAGTGGGGGGAAGGTCTAAAGCTGTGTTCTTCTGGAACTTCCCAGCTTTGAAAAAGTTCAAAGTTATGTAGCAGTAGCATTCATACTTTTTTTGTCTGGTATTATGAAGATTTGAGGCATGTCATGTTGTTCTGTTCATCTGGATCTCCATCATCTAGAAACTTCTGAACACATCTTGCTAATTCAGTCCAGTTTGGTGGGGTGAAATGGTCTCCAATATATTGAAGCTTGACCGGTTTCATGAAAGTAGGTTGCTGAGCAGAGCCCGGGGGGAGACCTTCCTGAGGGCTATGAGGGGGGAAGAGATGCAGTATGGGCTCAGCCCTCACTAGAAACTGGAGAATCCCAGGGAAGGTCGACATGGCAGACACTGCAGTCATGGAAAACCTGCCAGTAGTACCTTACTCTTTATGAGACACAAGGGGGTCAAACTACAAGCCCAAACTTCCGTAGAAGAGCCAGGCTGCCTGATTTCCACTGTCTTCATTCTCAGGTTTGCTGTTCCTGTCAAGCTGCCAGTTATTTATGTATGCGCATGCTCTTTTGTTTTTCATTTTAGAAACCCAAGCATCCAACGACCGGTCTAATTGCCATTACACTAGCGTTTCACATATGCCATGAAGTTCACCTGGCGGGCTTCAAGTATGACTTCACTGACAGAAACAGTTCTTTGCACTACTACGGCAATGACACGATGTCTCAGATGATACAGGTAACAAACACTTGTGTATGCTGAGAGAAATATAGCTGGTAACCGGGGAAGACAGTTCAACATATAGATAGAAGTGTGGGCTGCAGGTCAGAAAGGCTTCCCATTTTCTCCTGTTTCAGCTGTTCATGGGTTAACGTTGCTTGAAATTCTTCATCTGTGCTTTTGTTTCTGAAAAATGTGGATAATGATACTTGTATCCCTTGTGCTACACCATATTCTGCAATGTCTGCATCAGATACGTGCACCTGTATGTTCTGTTTTGCTTTGCTGGCGTTATCCTTAGGCTACCCAGCTCTTGCTCGTAGAGGCGTATTTGCTAGCACTGTCAGAACATTATTAGCGTTGTTTCTGTTTGCATTCTCTTTTTTTCCTTAGCCCCTACTTGCACAATTTGTCATCGTTGCCAAGCTGCTTAAAAAAGGAAAAGAAGAGCAAAGGGAAACGGAAGGAGTTAAGACCTGCAAACTTGCAGTTAGGAAAAGAACTGCATTTCAGAAACTGAAAGCAGAAAAGAAAAGCAGCTCTTGGAGGGGGGTGGGAAGAGAAGGAACTGCTTCCAGGAGATGGAAGCCACAGCTCACCAGGAGAGCAGCAGGAGGCTGGCAAACATCAGGGATACCTTCTCCTCCCTCCTGCTTTGCTATGATCATGCCTCGGTGTTATGTCTCTGCTCTTGTCTTCAGCTCTGTACTCCGAGCAACTCCATCTCAGCCCTTTACCTCAGTGTGAACAGTTTTCTCTCCCATGTGCATGCCCAATGCATGTGGGGACCATTTTCTCTCCTCCTCCCTTTCCTGAAGAGGAAGGATAGGGGCAGTGCCCATGAGGAGCCTCTCACGTCTCTCTGAGGACTCCTAGGTGCCTGCTGCTCTGAGTTAATTTGCCTCTGACACTGAACTCACCTTTGTTTTGAGGCTCCTCTCTGCAGGTGCTTTTTTTGCAATGTATACCAAGCTTGGCTAAGGTTGATCACTAGTTGAATGGATATCATAGAATCATAGAATGTTTTGGGTTGGAAGGGACCCCTAGAGGTCATCTAGTCCAACCCCCCTGCAGGAGCAGGGACACCGCTAACTAGATCAGGCTGCTCAGAGCCCCGTCCATAAGTTTCCTACAATCTTGAAACTTTAAAACGCAAACAACTAAACAAAAACCTTATTGTTAATTCTGTAGTGGCATTAAGTTATATTATACTATATATGTATAATCTTTTATGCAGTATTAGTATTATATTAACTTTAATTTACTAGATTCAGTGTCTAAGATTGTCAGTAAACTTACTTCCCTTGTGGTGTCCTCCACGAACCTCAGTGGTCTCTTGTGATGGGTTGGTTTTGGCTTGTTGAAACTGATTGGCAGGATGCATCTGATTTACAAATGCCTGCCTGATGCGGGCTTTTCAAGTACCTGCATTGAGCTTTGAGAATTAAGTAATTTTCCAGCTGTTTGCGCTCTAAGTGTGGTTATGCAGCTGTTCCCTCTAAGCACGGGGAGGAGTTGGGAGAGTTAGTAATGGTAGGACTTCTGTGAGGCTGTGCCTCGCCCGTTCTTGCCACTGAAGGATCATCCCTTTTGGCTTGTGTCCTAGCAGAAAATCTAGCAATAGAGTCACTCACCTGTTTTCTTGGGAGACTGTGCTACAGCCTTTGCTAAGAAGTCTTTTCCCCAGAGCTTTCCTGCTCTTAGCATCTTCCAAGTATCACAGGTAATTAAAAGGAAAGAAAAACTAAGTGATGCTTCTGGTAATAATTTGAATTCTTTGTTTTGTTACTCCTTCACATCTCTTTTAGAATGAATACCACAACATCACCGCTGAGCAGAAATTTTTGAAGAAGCTTATAGACAAGAACTTTGTGGTCAATTTGACGTGAAAGCTGAATAGAAAATATGAAGGAAAATCACTATTTTCAAGATTTGAAAATTTTTTATTTTTTGTATGACATTTTTATTTTTTAAGTGCAGCGTAACTGTTTACTGTTTAAAAGGAGCACAGAAACCTCACCAAGGCAGAAGCTTCTAAGCCTGAGGGTAGTAGACTATTGTAAACAGTAAACCGAATTTCTGTGAAACTATTTAATAATGGGAAAACCATGAAACTTTCAGCTGAAAGTATCAGGGATATATAAAAATGTGATGCACATCACTTATTTATCAGCAAGAACTCTTTGCAAATGATTACGTCTCTGGAATACTTTGGTTTCTGATGTTGTCCTCCAAAAGAGTTATACTGTCAAGAGACTGAGGCGACCAGTGTTTAATTGGTAGATGGATGTAGAGTCTTGAATGTCGGTCTTGTAGTATGAACATGGCTTTAAAACAATGCCTATCAATCATTACTGTGTGTCTGGGAGAAGGAGGAACACACAGAGCGTACAGGTTTTGGTCTGCCCTGCTCCCGAGGAGGGGACGCCCATCTTCAGTAAAGAAGCCACAACTTCTGCACTGGCCGTCGACTCTGAGCTGCTGTCTGCCTTTGCCGAAGGTGAAGACCCTTTGGTCTGTTTGCTGGGGATGTTGGTATCGACAATGCTCGTGTTGTACCTCGTTTATGGAAAACCCATCCTCTCTGTGCTGTGCCTCCAGTAAGTTCTACAGTTGGTGACTTGACTTAGAAAAGAGGGAGTATTGAAGACTGAGGAGTTGTCCTAACTACCTGCCTGTCAGCCGCTTCCCCCAGACCACAACAGAAGCGTGAGCTGGGGCAGAGATGCTCACGCCTGAGTTGAAATTTAGAGCCCACGCTTGTTGGATTCCTAGATCTCCAGGACAGGATCTCATGTGTCTTTCTGTTTGCTCCCCAAGAATCAAGGTGTATTTTTCCACACCAGCACCATCTCCTTTCTCAGATGCCGGGATGCGTTTCCACCTTTGAAATGCATCAATATGAGCGATGATGAATGTTCCCGTTCTTGGCAGTAGAGTGTGCTAGGGAATATCCAAGATGTACCTCAGCTGAATTATCATTTGGCTTCTGCTTACCTCTCCTGTCTTGACATTTAGTTTTAAAGGATGTGGCTTAGCTAAATCATTCAGTGGTGGGAACTTACCGGGGATTTTAATGCAAACATTTAATGGGACCTTTATTTTTCATGTATTGGTTTGTCTCGGACAAGCCTGCTGAATAAGTTAAATCTGCCTGGGAATGCCCTTGACAGCTGTCAAAGAAGAACAAGTAATATGCTGTTCTAATTCTCTCAGAGAGTGTGTGTGTATATATATATATATATTTTTTTTTTTAATTGTGGCAGATTTGCTTGAAGATCTTGTGGTTATCTTGATCAGTCACACCTGAAGAATGCACACGAAGTTCACTTAAAAAAAAAAAGTCTTTAAAGGTGGTAGAAAAACCTATGCTGCTTTTTAATAAAACTGTATTTAGTACGTTTAGGAGCGGTGCAGACAATTACAATATGACCTGCTCTAGCAGGTCAAGAGCATGTATTTGTGTTTTCAGAAGCTGAGGATTACAAGAGTACTGAACACAATTTCTCTGCTGCAGCAATGTAGAGGAATAAGCATTGAAGTGACCAGAATAATTTTTTTTTTCCCGGCTTTTTGTCCGGAGGGGCCTCTGCCTGTCTGTAACAAGCTGTATCCAACGCCAAGAAGGGAGAGAGCAGGCTTGCAGCCGAGGCCTTCTCTGGAGGCTGCCTGGGGGGGGGGGGGGGGGTGGGGGGGGGAGCCACAGTCCAAGGGGAGGGGGGGCTTGTGTTTTCACCTAATGACTCCTGAGCTTTGGTCCGTTTCAAGCAAATTGGACATGTCTGAAGTAACTCTGGATGTCACAAAAATCTGCAGGGGCAGGGAAGGACCCAGATGTGTCCCCAGCACGTGGCTGTGTCACGGTGTCCGGGCCAGCTGGATGTGTGTCCCTGGGGCCCCCTTGCACAGCCCTGCATGGGGCGGCAGGCGAGAGTGCGGAGGTCTTCAGGCACCGGAGTGGGTGACTGCGGTGGTGGAAATGGAAGAAACCAGAATTTCTTCACCAGGTGGCAGAAGGGCTCTTACTCAGTTATTTGCATTTCCTTTCTTTTTTTCTTTTTTTTTTTTTTTTTTTTTTTTAAATATGCAGATTTCTGAGGTTTTGAGGAGATCTTCGCTTAAAAATCTGAATAGAAACAGGTGGGGGGTTTGCATCAGAAAACAGCGACACTACTGTCTTTGTCTCTACCAGCATTTATTTCTCATGATTATTTCAGTTAATGAAAAAGGTTTGTACGTGACTCTACAGCCCCAGACCTGCAGTGGGTTTGACTACAGACAATAGCAATTCCACACGAAGAGAATGCCCTGGTAAGGCTTTTTGCAAAGGTTGCGGTGTTGTCCGAGCAATCTTTGCGTAGAAGCCCGTGGTACATCTTGGACACCGTTGAGAGCCGAGCCAGGCAGAAGAGGAGGGCTACCTCTTCCACCTCCAAACCCGTGGTCGCTCCCAGAGCCGGGCTCCCCAGCTCCCCCACGGGCTGCCGCCACAGATCCAGCCACATCCAGGCTAACGTTGTGCAGTACACGGACCCAGAGGATCTCCACCCTGTCCCCAGTTGGCAGGAGGCGGGCAGGGAGCTGTGGTTCTGAGGATGTGGTTATTTTCTCTGCTTTGATTCCTCTCTGGGGATATTCTTCCCACTAATCTAAACTGATTCCTTCTCCTAGTTTTCCCGGGAGGTTTTCTGGTTTTTCAGGGTTTTGTTCTGCTATAGTTAGAATCCCCAAAAAATAATTGGGAAAAAAGCTTCATGGCAAGCAAATTGTGCCCCTCCTGCCCCCCAATGCTTTTAATTAAAATAGACGCCTTTTTTTTTTTTTTACTACATCAGCTTTTTGTCTCCCTAAGATTTTTTTTTTTTTTAATAACATTTGATATTCTCAATGCATTTAATGTGCTGTCTACCAGCATTTATCCTTATCGGCTGCTCCTTTTTATTTCTTCTTAATAAGCCTCCCCATTTGTACGACTGACTTATTTTTGAAATTAAGCAGTACCCCCGGGGATAATTTTTCCCCCACTTCTGTGCTCCCGCAGAGATGTTGAGTCCACGCACGCCAAGGTTGCTGTCCCAGGGCGACTGAGTAACATTTACAGCCAGACCAGTTCACTTTGGGACCGAGCCGAGAGCTGATACCGTTGATAAACCACGGGGTACTCGGGGTTTTTTTTATTTCAAAAGCACAGCGTACAGGCCGGCAGCGCTTCAATACCAAGCGGTGAGCCACATCATTCGTCCCCCCCCGCCCCTGGCCCCGTGAGATGTTTCGGTAGGAGTGTGCGTACGCCGGCCCTGCTTCACCACCCGCTTCACACGGTCATTTCTGCTACTCTGCCTTGCGGACGGGCGTCGCTGTTACACCAGCCTCCTGCAGGCGAGAACACCTGTACCTGGCTGTGTTCCTCACTCGTGCCCACAGATCACAGCGTCTCTTCTACCCCGGGCACGCGTTTCCACAGGCGTTTTGCAATACCAAAGACTTGCTGTTGGACTTTTTGAAAAAAAGCAATAATGCTAACTGCGAATACTTGGATCTTTCTGAGAGTGAGCTGCTGTTAAGATTTTCTTTTTCCATTTTTGTCATTCTGGAAAGTGAAATCTCTGCACTGAAACTTCCCTTTAAAAGCCACACAATTTTCTTTTTTATCACACCAGCAGCAGTGAAGCTGCCAATTTTGAATCCCAGGGTGCTGCCAGCTTTATTTCTGCATCTGGTAACGGTGTAACTGTATGGGTACCCAGCGGCTCCCATCAGTTTTCTCCCTGTGCCAGCCGCACAGTCATGCAGTCTCAACCCTTCTTCCTCTGCCCTCTTCTCCAGCAGCCTGCTGAATTTCAAGACGGCAGCATCTTACGGCAAAGGTGCTCCTGCCTTCTGCCTACCACCCCCCCCCCAGAATGCCGCACCGTCGGGAAGGGCCAGCTCTGAGGTACCGAAGCATGCACAAGCCGGGCGGGATGACATGTGTCGGCTGAAAGCTCATCTTGGCTTGGACTTTTAGGGGATTTTTACATTTGGTTTCTGTTGGGAAGGTATTTTTTCCTCTGCTGTAATTCTTAAGGGAAGTACAGCGATATGACTTAAGAGGGAAGGTCACAAACTACTGCACTAAATGCGAATCTGAGAGTGCCTAAAAGATATTACTAAATGACACTTCCAGTGAGATTGCATTGGTGATAATGGCACAGAATCAGAACTTTGGTGTTTAATAATTAGCGTGTGGTACCTTGTTTCCTATGCCATACTTTCCTTTTTAATAGGGCCCTGGGAGGCAGTCTAAATACCTTAACTTTTAAGTGGAGTCTGTTTTTTAAGAACATACGAAGCTTTGGGTATGGGTAAATACTTCTTTTATTTGCCGTTTGTCTTAAGTTTTATACGCCTTTAAAGTGCCAGCTGTATTTTGAAGACATTCTTACAGATGTTCCAAGTGACATTTTGAATGCTACAAATGGAAAGAGATTATTTTCCCGTGAATAAACTGTGTGAAAGACGGTGCCCTCGGGGCTTATTTTTTGCAAGATCATTGCGCTGTGTGTGTGTGTGTGTGCAGATGCGCACGTGTGCCCGGCCCCGTTGTTAATGCTGCGTGAAGCACGTAACGGTGGCGGCAGATACCGTATCGAGGGTCAGAACAAAACTGGGTGCTTAGTAGAGCAACCAGAGCTGAAAGTTTTTCAACGTAGGAAGGCTAAGCTGTGCTGCGGGCGGAGACCTCGCGCCAGGCTGAGGAAAAGCGAAGCTGGGGCGCAGGTTATGTGGGTGAGATCAAGAGCAGCGTCCCCCTGATTTTAATTTTTCATGTTTTTTTTAAATCTTGCCTGTCTTACCGGGGACTTTCAGGGGAATGCTAAAATAAAAGGCGCCTAACATAAGAAGCTGGCACGTGACGAAAGACTTGAGGTAGAAAGTGAGGGACCCCGACCGTGATGCTTCGCTCACGTTTTGTTTTCTCTTCTCCTTGTGCAGTAAAAACGAGATGCCGGGGAGCTGGCGGGGGGGGGGGGAGCCGCTGAGCTGGCCGGCGGCTTCAGGCAGCCTGAGGGAGAGTTAGGAAGCGATTACCTGCCCAAGTAGGTATCCAGTGCGTTCATTTTAGTCGTGACAGTTTAGGAATTGGCCAGCTTGGAGGAAAGGGCCTGTCTTTGAGGTGCGGTCGGGGGGGAGTCACGCCGTGGGTTATCATTTACTCCCCACAGCCAAGCCACAGTTGAACAGTGGCGCAGATCGGTGGCAAATTATGCGGCCGCTCTCACGGTAGGATTTTGTTGCAGGTGAAAGAATGGGGAGGGGGAGGAATGGGAAAAGCTGTTTCCAAACCCCAGAGCGAGCCAGGGACATGGTGTGCGTCTCCCAGGCTGGGCAGCCAGCTCTGGCTTTTTGGGTGAACGCAAATCCTTAACAGCGCACCTCTGCGACGCCCCATTTCTTGGCTTCCCGCACGCTGCCCTCTGCCTTTCTCAGCCCGAGCGGGCGCCCGTCCCCGCAGGCCGCCTGTGGGAGCCCCTCGCCCTGCGCCTTCCCCCAGCCCCAGCCGTGTTCTCCCACTAACTGTGATGCCAGGCGTTTTCCTACCCCCCCCCACCCCCCGCTGGCCTGGGGAAGGTTTTGCCAGTAGAGGGGAACTAAAGGAAAGGGCACGTCATTTTTTTTTTTCATATCGGGCCGTCGGTGGTTTCGGAGCGTCCTTGTGCTCTGATGTACGCACTCAGTGGGTTGGAATGTTCCTTCTAACAGTGCTGCTGAATGAAGACAGGATTGGGTTTTGGTTTTGGTTTTTTTTTAAGATATTTAATAAGATATTTTTTTCAAATCAGTACAAAAATTTTAAATACAAAATTATTTGCTTTTGACATATCTCATATATTCTGGGAACATACCGAAGTCACCAATGCCTGGTAAACTGTCCATCCGTTCCTGCCACCGTTCCGTAAAATTTCTGAGATAAAGCACCACATTATATTACTGGAGTCCTTAGTCAATGTTAGACTGCATTAAACTCTGCATTTAAATAATGGTAATGCCAGTTAAATCCAATCTTAGTTCTGCATGAAAAAATCTAGTTCATTTTTGAATCAAAAGCGGTAGCATTAGCTAAAGACACGGAAGAAGTGACGAGTATTTAACTCTTTCAACTAGCGTAACAGCCTGTGATGTGCAGCACTGTACAGGGAACCACAGCAACGTGCGCTGCCGCCCTTTGGAAACGAGTACCTCTGGGGTGAGGTTAGCACCACTGACGAACAGACAGCTCTTGCAGAGAAGTTGCTTTCCTCAACGTACAGGAAAGGTCGAGGCCTGCGGGTTCTCCTTGACAATTGGTAACGTAAAAATAAGGATTGGAAATCAGCTTTTACGTAAAATGAAGGTCTCGGATAAATTTGCGTAATCAGTATTGCTGGTAAAGTTATCGGTTGAATCTCAAACAAGAAATTAGTTAATTAGCAAACAGAGCTACTTCTGCCTTGCCTAGTCATCAAAGAGTAAACTGATTTAATTTTTGCTGAGCGGCAGAATAGGCGTCTCCTCTGACAAGCCAGACAGACGCAGGTCCTTAGCACGAGCACAGAGATCCCAGCGAATTTGTACCGCCCTGCTCTATCCCCACGTGCTGGCCACAACGCCTCCCTCAGGTGGCGCAAGGCAAGTGGGGAGCCCCTCATTTTTGTCTCTGCTCTACCTCATCTGCTTCTACTGTGCAGAGGCAGGCGGAGACTTTTCGAGTGCGGTGGTGTTTGGAGGTGAACCCAGCGCCTGCTGGAGTCAGAGGCGGTGTTCTGGGTCCAGTGACTGCTGGAGGGGGCTCGCGGGGAACGGTTACACCATCGGTGCTCCTTTTCCATCGCAAATAAATTGTTCAGGAAAAATACGCACCTGCAGGGATATTTTATACGGGGGGAAGGGAAATAGAGGTGACCGGCTAAGAGAACCTTTGCTTGTCAGGCAGACCTGCTGTCTAAAAACCAAAAAACCCCCCACCCAAACAAATAAAAAGCCACTCAAATTTTTCCGTATCATTTGAGACAGACCTACTCTGGTTTAAGTCACTGGTTTTCATCTCGTAACTGTGATCAATGCAACAGTCAAATACGCAACAGGAGTGAGTGACGTACACTGATTTGAACCTTAGTACTGAATTGTGGTGAATGAAATGAAGTAAGCATGGCGTCACAGAAATATATAATGTACAGCTAATATGTCCCCCTCGGGTGTAAAAGAACTGTTTATGAACCTGATACACATCTTTAGATATGTTCATCACACCTTTTTGTTTTTTATAACTAGCTGTGCATAATGTTAAACTTCGTATTTTTTTTTTTGCTTGTTTTTTGTACAAGATGGTCCGAAACAGTCAGAAAATGCATCTTTCACGGTACAAAAGTTTGAAGCAGAGAAGAAGGGTTTTGATTTTGTGTGTGTGTGTGTGTGTGTGTGTGTCTGGTTTTTGTTTTACATGGGATACAATAAATATCCTGAAAAAGATGAATGAACATACTGCCCGGCATAGAGTCCTGCCGCCTGCTCGGATGGCATTTGAACGTAAACCTTGTCTCCGTGCATCAGCTGGACGACGGCGCTGCCCGACGCCTGGTCCAGGAAGCCCTTCTTGTACTCATCGTAGGTGTACATCAGCGGCTCGTTGTTCTTGAACAATGCCACCCAGACGCTGGCCCCTTTACAGTGGACGTGGTAGGCGAAGTAGTAGACACCAGGTATCTCACAGGTGAAGATCCCCGTCTGGGGGTTGTAGTTCTGCCGGCCGTTGTAGAGGAGCTTGTCGAACTTCACGGGCACCCCGACCCGGGGGAAGGGGGTGAGGAGCTCCGCCGTGAACGCGGGCATCTCGTAGACGGCGCCACCAGCCTTGCCTTTCTTGCCCATGTAGCCGTAGGGGGGCTTGACGCCATCTATCCCTGGCCCCACCTCGGGCAGGTACTGTCCTACGGCCGGTGGAGTGGGTGGGATGATGACCGGGGGACCTGGGGGCCCGGGGGGGCCAGGTGGCCCCTGGAGTCCTGGCTGGCCAGGGGGACCGAGTGCCCCAGGCTTCCCCGGGGGACCCTGCAGCCCCGCGGCACCAGGCTTGCCCACGCCAGGGAAGCCAGGGGGTCCAGGCAGGCCGGGCTCCAGCCCTTGGGCGCCGGGGAGTCCCGGCTCGCCCTTCGGCCCCACGAGCCCTGGGCCCCCCGGCAGCCCTGGCAAGCCTTTGTGTCCAGCTTCCCCCTTGGGCCCTGTGGGGCCCGGCAGCCCCCGCAGCCCAGGGGCCCCCACTTCCCCGGGAAAGCCTGGCTTTCCTGGAAACCCTTGCAGGCCGGGTTCGCCCTTTGGGCCAACCGGTCCCGGTGGCCCCACAGCACCCCCTTCTCCTTTGGGTCCTGGGAAGCCAGCAGCCCCCGGGGGGCCCATGATGCCCGGCCCCTTTGCCACCTGGGAAGCCCGGCTGGCCGGGGACACCATCCTGGCCGGGTTTGCCAACGCCGGGCAAACCCGGAGGGCCTTGGATCCCGGGGACCCCCGGGGGCCCCTGCAGCCCCAGCTCTCCTGGGGGTCCGGGTTTGCCCAGGGGTCCCTGGGGGCCAGGGAAGCCAACCATACCTGGCTTGCCGACCCCTGGCAGCCCCACGGGACCAGGCGGGCCAGGGAGGCCAGGTGGACCCTTCAGCCCTGGCAAACCCGGGATCCCGACACCCTTCTCGCCTTTCGGCCCTGGGATCCCAGGGACTCCCGGGGGCCCCTTCATCCCAGGCTCACCCTTCGGCCCCGGCTGCCCCTGCAGCCCCGGAGCACCTGCTTTCCCTATGCCAGGAAGCCCGTGAGGCCCTGGTGGTCCTTGCGGCCCAGGTATCCCCATGGGCCCGATCTCCCCCTTCGGCCCCATCTCCCCTCTCGGCCCTGGGGGTCCCATGACCCCCGGTTTCCCCGGCATCCCCGGCAAACCCGGCTTCCCAATTCCTGGGTATCCTTGTGGGCCTGGTTTTCCTTTGGCTCCTGGCACACCATGACCCGGTAATCCTGGTGGCCCTGGTGGCCCTCTTGGTCCAGGCTCACCGGGGGGACCTTGCTCGCCCCTCAGACTGCGTATGGGCATTTCTAGGTAGGGAGAGAAAAGAGAAAGAAAAAGGGAGGGGGAGAGACAAAATGTGATTGCAGTCGCATCCTTTGAGAAACACAAAGGCGGTTTTGAGTTGAATGTGCTTGTTAGGATGCCTCTTGGCTTCATGGTGGGCGGGAGACAGAGCTGGCCAGCGAGTTACAGGTTGGTGTTTGGAATGAAGAGGATGTTCCTACTGTTTTGCACACCCCAAACTTACATGTATGTTTCTGTTTCCATAAAATAATAATTTTTCATCATATTTGCGTATTTTTTGCCGTGCACAAGCCATTTGCACTTTACTAGTGTTTTCCGCCTATACAGTTTTAAGCGGCGAAATCTGCTTTTTGTCCCATAATGCTGTAGGACAACTCAGATACTTGAAACGAGTTTTCTAGGACACAGAAGCTGCTCGGTGCTCCTGTGCTGTAGGAGTTCCTGCATAAAAGTGCTTCTACTGGAGAGGCTTACGCTAGCCAGAGCAATTAAAAAAGATTGTATCAGCAAGAAGTTTGTACGTAGGGTTGGCTGCATTTTCACCATTAAGATATTACTGGAAACCTACAGCCTTACCCAGCGTTGCTAAGCTCCCACAGGTTTTTGGCGTAGCCACGTCTAGTTAGAGCTCTTCTAAACACTTCACAAGATGTTTTTATTGTCCAAACCCTCATTTTTGTGTATGTATGTGACCACTTAGCCTTGCAGATCAGTGAGAGGGAGTTGCCTCAAGGGAGTGGTTGTGCTGGGGTTGGTTGCTTTTCAAGCTGCGGGCTTTTTGTGTTAAGTGGAAAGCCTGCTCCTCTCCAGCTCTGAAACGGGTAAAGAAGCGAGAGGTTCAGGGGAAGGGGACAGATGAGGTTTCAGGGCAAGAGAATGAACTGTTCTTTGGGAGGCAGATACCCTCCCTCTCTGCACATGTTGTGTTTCATGCACGTAGAAAAACCTCCTTTGTTCCCAAGACGGGTTGGTTTTACTACAGCCAGTTGTGCTTGTTCAGACACTCCAAAAATAGGCCCTGAAATCTTCCATTTCCCTCTGAAGCCAGCAGAGGCTGTGGTTACACTGAAGGCAAAGAGTTAACCAGCTTGGCTGAAGTCGCACAGATGTTCTCTGTCCCCACAAGGATTTTATGACACTGGGTGTTCCTTGTTGCCCTTTGGTTTTTAGACATTTTTTGTTGTTTTCTTAAATACCCTAATATTGTCTGAACTTCCTTTACTGAATACTGAAAGTACTCGTACGTGCAGACTTGGGCAGTACCTTCAGTACCTGCAGTACCCTGTGCCTTCAATGCCTCTGTTACTCCCATAAATAACCTACAGAAAGAGGACTGCAGAGTCAGAAGAGCAATTGTATGTTTTTGTCTGCAAACCTCTAAATCCCAGGGTCTGGGCAAATCCAGACAAACCCGTGATACTCCTGTAAATTCAAATCTTGAGGCTCTTCGCTGTTATTGCATATCCAGTCGCTGCAGTGAGAGTGGGAGCACCCCCAGGCAAGACCCCAGCCCACCTACCAAGGCCATGATTTGAAACCCTGCCAGAGGTCCTTCTGCAGGGGCGTGGGGTTACAAGGTTTCTCCTAGCCTTCAGCAAGCACCCAAACAAACCTGGGGTTGGTCGCAGGTAGGGCTGCTCCCAGAGGATGACTGTGGCCTTGCTCTGGTGGCCCTGAGCAGCCCCACAGCTCACGTTTTGTCCACCCATGGCCGGGCGCCAGCCTGGCCAGCCCTCAGAGCACCTGGGTGCCGTGCCTGGCCTGCAGCAGCCAGCTCCCCATCCTTGGTTACCCCTGGGTAGAGGGAGCTGTGGGGCACCGGGCAGGACTGTGCAGGGGTGGCAAGGGATGCACCAAGCCTACCTTTCTCTTTCTTGGGAGCCATGTCCTTGCCGAGCAGAGGGGGTCCTTTTTCCCGTACTGCATGTGGGGCACCTCCTTGCCCATGTGCTGCATCGGGATACCTTCTTTGCCCAGCGGCATGTGAGGTACTTGTTGTCCGAGGGGTTGGTACTGGGGCACTTGGGGTGGCAGCTGCTTGAGCCCATAGTAGACGCCACCTTGAGCAGACCTCACCAGCTCTAGGTAAATGGTGACAGCTGCTGCCAGCAGCTGCATGGGGAAGAACAGCATGGCCATCACCTGCGAAAAACAAAACAAACCCTACAGTTGGCAGAAAATGTTTTTTCGTGTCGTGCGTTTACCGTTAGGGCCGACCTGCTCTCATTTTTCTGCAGCAAAATGGACCTAATCCTCTGCAAACTGGCTGTGGTTTGTGTGTTACCATGGAGGACATCCGGCAGCAGGCCTGCACCTGGCTTACTGGAGGCTCTTACTCAAATAGTACTATTGTAGCAAATGTTCTCATATGCTTTTAGTTTTATACTACCCCACACACTCTGGGTGGTGCCCTCTGCGGTTTCTCCATACTGGGGCCTGCTCCCGCCCATCCCCAAGCTGCAAGTTGCCACTCTGGCTGTGTCAGTGCCACCCTGCAAGGTTTGGGGAGCTCCACTGCAAGCTGTGGCCCAAGGGGAGAGCAGGCAGGGGGCATCTGGGGATGTCTTCCACGCTTCCTGCCCAAGGAAGCTAAATTATCAACACCCCTTCTGCTATGCTTTCCATAGCAATGTAAAGCTCAGTTTCTGCAGTTTAAAGCTGTGCCTAGGATTGTGCCCCGCGGCGGCAGGGTCCAGGGGCTCTGCACTTCTACCGCAGCTCCTTGCCAGCTTCCTTCCCCAGCTCTCAGCCTTCCCCTAGAAGAACGGGGCCACCTAGGGGCTGTCCGGGCCATCGCTGACTCCGGGCAAAGATCAGCCAACCCAAGCCTTTCTCCAGGGATGTTCAACTTTTTTCTAAAGGTCTCCCCTGCTGCAGACCCTGTCCCCTCCCGAAGCAGCTGGTCCCAGCGCCTCGCTAGTCCTGCTAACGCACCGGCACAGGGTGGTTTTTTACTTCTTTGTCTTCCTTATCAGAATAAAAGCTTGGGACCTCTCGTCCCATCTGCCGTTTGCTTTCCTTTCTGCAGTAGCGGCGATGCTGGCAGGTGAGCAGTAGATTAGCAGCCAGGATCTCCCTGAACGCATACATATTTGGGGGCAGCCTGAGGTGACGAGGAGACTCTGTGTGTTACCATCCGAGTATTCTGCAGTTTGTCCCACTAGCAAGCCTGGCAGGCATGTCCTGCTCTTTTGAAATGCACATGGCAATTGCCAGGCTCGATGCTGTCCCCGACTCCCCACTTTTCCACAGTGCAAAGACTCCTTGCACCCAACCTGAGCTGCTGGAAAAGCCCCCGCCACGCAGGGACACTGGCAGAGCTTTGCCAAACTGCTCGTCAGAACTCGCTCCCAGCAGCTGCTGGGCCCTGCTGAGCCCAGGTGTGATGAGGGCAGCCTGAGGAGGTGGGGGGGGCTTTGTGCCGCCTGCTTATTTTCCTGTCCTTCTCCCACAGCCTGGCTTGACAGAGGGCAAAAAAAGCCCCTCCACCTGTGACAAAGTGGCTCAGCACCAAGCCCCCTTCACCTGGTGCCATGGGAAGCAGCTTTTGCAGGGCAAAGCTTTTCCCTTTCCCTGCTGGGACTGGGGCTGGTCCCCACTCGAATCCAGCTGCCCGCAGGGCTGCAGCCCCAGCTCCCCAGCGCAGGGTGATGCTGCAGCACGTGGGAGGACCCCCACTCCCCTTGCTGGAGGGGCAGCGCAACCCAGCGTGGGCCAGGATGTGTCCTCCCAGGGGCCGTAAGGAGATGTGGCTTTGGGCAGGCAAGGCTGCTACTGCGGAGAGCTGGGGGAAGGCGTGAGAGGTTGGTGGGGTTGGGGAGAGGAAATGTATCGACAGAGGAGGGGGCAGTAAGCCACTCCGCCTGCCTCCTCTAACGCTGCACTGTGTACGGTGGGGCTCTAAAAAGGGCCTGGAAGTAATTGGGGAGGGTGGGACTTTTCAAGGTGTGCATGAAGGGCTTGTGCCCGGTGGGCAGAGGGTGTGGGCGGGCTGCAGGGCAGCTGCAAGACTTGCTGAGCTCAGGGGATGGGTCAGGGGCACCATCGGCATTGAGCCCTGGTGCCGTGACTTGGGTTTTACCCGCTCGCCGCTGTACGTTTTGGCCCAAGCACTGGGAGGGCTGGGAACTGCTGCTCGCCCTGCTCTGTGCTGTGCTGAAGGTTATTGATCAGGTGGTAACACTGGGTGTCGTTCAGTTTTTATGTTTTACTCCTGCTCGAAGTTCTCCGTTCACTTTGCATTAGCAAAGCACCCGGAGAACTGCTCACTGCTCTTTTGGAACATTTCTCCTTTGTTTTGCTCTATGAGATCTAATCTCAGTGGAAATCAGCATATCAGCATTACCGAAGGTTGAGGCAAGGTGAAAATTGTGTAGTTCAAACAACCAGCCAAAATTTAACAACAAAACCAAAAATTAACCAGAAGGTTAATATTTTCAGTAACGTTCCTGAATAGACAAATGAACTACAGAAAAGATGGAACTATGTGTTAACGGCAAAACAAACCATTCAAGAAAATATTAGTGAATAAGAAAATGAAATATTAGTGAATAAACGCTAGATGGAGCGTCTGTTGCACAGCTGAGTTTCTACAGTCGCTTTCCCTCCCAGGAATGTAAGGTCTTGGATGTAACCAGCTGCTATGTGGCAAAGAAAACCAGAGCCAAGATGTACAGGAGTTATTGAGCGTAGCTAAAGCCCAAGCACAGTCACCCATTCTTGTTCAGCAAAGCATTTCAGCAAACACTTCATCTCCAGCGAGTTTAAGGTGGCTTTTAGCCCATGACTGCCTGCTTTGCTGTGAGCTAAAGGATTAGGGCCTTTGGACACGGTATTTCTGCTAAAAGCTCAATGGCACTGGGCTGTGAGGACAGCCTGTGCGTGGTCGGTTACCGGGGCTCAGCTGGGACGGGGTAACTTATTAACCTGCTGCAGCTTCATCTGGGCACAGGGACCCCCAGTGACCTTTTTTGGGGGGGGTGGGGGGGGATGGGGGGGTTTTCCCCACTCTCATCTCTGTTGGCCTTTCTGCTCCTTTCTGTACCATAGCGAGTAACTGGCTGCAGCTTTGGCTCTGCAGCTGAGTAGGGCAACACCTGCCTCAACTTGCAGGGAAAATCCCAGCTACTGGAAAATTTTCAGCCTTCTGTGCATCTGTCCCACATGAAAAGCATTGCCTGTATGAAGAGAGAAATGCCGGGAAACCTTTTTTGAAAAAAGATATTAGAAGATATTGGATGATTTAGGACTGTTGTTGAACCCTCCAAGTATGAAGGGCAGGGTGGATTTTGAAGAATGAGGTTATTAAAGTAGCTTCTTGGCTACTTTGTTGTTCTGGTTGCCAGTTTTGGGAGGTTTGTTTTTTTAAAAAGATAACTTCAGTGGAATAAGTGGAGAGGGAAATAGGTAAAATTCCTTTGGATGTGATTTTTCTCCTTGTTTTTATTACGAAACACAGGCTTTGTGTGCGAGCGGGAGCTATGTGAAATAATTGAAAAAAATTTCCTATGGGGAGACACCAGCCTGCCCACAGCCCAGGGTGAACTCAACCTCCCGCTGCTTCTGCCGAGCTCCCTCGGCCCTGCCAAGCGTCACACAACGCACCTGTGGTTTAACAGGAGCGACCGCGCAGCACGCGAGATGTTTTTGTGTGCGCGCGTGGAAATTTTGAGGGAGATCAGATGAGACTTCTAGAGATAGGAAGGCTCCAGAAAATGAGGTGATCTCACTACATCTGTGTTTCCTCTAGTGTTTTTTGACTCATCATAACCAAACCAGTGTGGCCTGGAAATGACAACTTGCTTCTTATCTATTGATTTTGGCTGGGGCTGGTGCCTGCGACTAGCCGAGGTGGAAGGTGGTGGGGGTTTATTTACTGAACAACCATGGGCTGGATAGGACTTGGCCGATGTCTTTGTGGAGGACGTCAGAGCCTCCCTGGTGGCCTCATGTGAGCTGTCTGGGTCTTGGGATCTGCTGCAGGTACCTGGGAAGCAGCCTGTGTTCGGCACCGGCTGTATGGCTCATCTCTCCCCCTGCTCCCAAAGGAAGGAGGGATCAGACAAAATTAGTCTTGATGAGAAATGTGGGAGAGTCGTGTGTGTGACTGCTACTGGTCACTGCCTCCTGGCAGTGGGTCCAGCTGGATCATCACTATCAGATGCTGTCCCTGTAAGGCAAGCCTGCCCTGAAGCATGAGGGATGCCTGGGATAGTCCTTCAGTGTTGCAGCTCATTGCCTGCCTCATCCTATTCAGCTTCTCTAAAAAGTTATTTATGTACTGAGAGAGAGAAGTTGAAGGTCTTTTTTTTTTTTTTTACGTTGCAATTTGTTTCTGAATTCCTGGGTGCGCAGCTCTCGTTGTTTGAGGACCTCACTAGGAAGCCACCAGCATCTTTAAATGCCTCAGAGCTACTGAAAATCTTGGTCTTGGTTTTTAAAAGAAGTGTATAGATACTAAATGTTGGACAGGTCTTCCAGAGCTTATGAACAGGAAAAGGAGATTTTCCCAGCGGTGACAGGACTTAAGGAAAATACCAGAGTGAAGAGGAAAAAAGTCTGTGCTGGAGATGCAGCCAAAGTATAAGACTTCCCACACCCTTCACCCAGATCCCAGCAATTTAGGGATCACCTCCAAACACATTCATGTAATGCGATCTGACGTGCTTTCAAAGGTGTCAGTCAGCGGAGCAATAACCTGGTTTTGGAATGGGATTTTCCTGGGTTTCTGTCAGAAAGCAGTGGGAATGTGTCTACATATTTACGGCAGGTAAATCAGTGCATGCGTGCACCTTTAGAGAAGCCAAAGGCTTGGAGAAAGCAGAGTTGTACTTTAACTGTTTGAATGTCTGAAGGAAGACGGAGGAGAAGCAACTGTGCCTTCACAGTGTGTGATGCGTCGTTTTGCAGCAGTCGTTCAGATTAAGATACAATAAACATTTTGCTTTACCTAGGGTGGGGCAAACCACTGGAGGGCGAAGGAACGTTGTCCTAAACCACAGCGTTCAGCTGCTTGTGTGTGAACGCATGTGGTTGGCTCTGTGGGTGAGAGAGAGTCCCTGAAAAAACACATTTTTACGGGCAAAGCTCAAGTGAGAACATTTCTCAATAACCTCTTTGGTAGAGCTGTTCTCCTGAGA